TTTCTCTTTCACCCTTCCTGGTATATGATACACTAACAATAGAAAAAAATAATAGGGAAAAAACGACAATGAATTAATGTGAAATTCTGATTTAGAGGAATGAAAATCCAGTTAACCTGACAATAAAACAACACATTCAAATTCAAATAGTATTTTGGAATTAAGTAGCCCCTGCACCTAACAACTGAGATAGTTTTAATATCAACTGGTGAACTGATGTCTCTAATACATAATAAAAGGTATGCATTTTTGTATAATTTGTCATAGAAACATAACAGTTTGTGCACACCTGGAAGAAAAATCAACTGACATTTATCACCAAGGAAGGTCATGAATAAGGATTGCTTAGGATACCAAACTAGTCTCTTAACTCTAACATGGAAATTTAAATGGAAGATGGCAACATTGTGAGACTGTTTAGTGAGTTCTACCTAGGAGACATAATGGATGGAAACCCAGATGAAAGAAAGAAAAAAAAAAAAAGACAAGGGATTTTTAAATTTGCATATGCTGCTTGTCCTGCTGCCTCCGTTCTGATCTGCAGATTAAATACCCACATTGTCTCACTTGTTCTGACATTGCTGCCTGATGAAGCCATGAACCAGAACAAGACTCACTTTTCTGCTTGTGGGTGACAATCGCAAAAAAGAAGGCCGGGCGCAGTGGCTCACGCCTGTAATCCTAGCACTCTGGGAGGCCGAGGCAGGTGGATTGCTCAAGGTCAGGAGTTCGAAACCAGCCTGAGCAGGATGAAGACTCCGTCTCTACATTAAATAGAAAGAAATTAATTGGCCAACTAATTAATATAGATAGAAAAAATTAGCTGGGCACAGTGGCGCATGCCTGTAGTCCCAGCTACTCAGGAGGCTGAGGCAGGAGGATCGTTGAGCCCAGGAGTGAGGTTGCGTGAGCGAGGCTGACGCACGGCACTCACTCTAGCCTGGGCAACAAAGCGAGACTCTGTCTCAAAAAAAAAAAAAAAAAAAGAAAGAAAAAGAAAAAAAAAGACTCACTTTGCTGGTGCTCTGTGAGCTAACCTGATGATGGAGCCTGTGGTTGATTCCACTGTGGCCTCCCTGTGTCCTGACCTTCTGCAGTGCTCTCCCTTGCTCACTCTGGACTTGGCAACAGCCGCAAACTTAACTCAAACAGAAGCTTGAAACCTGTTTGCATGTTTAGCTTGTTCTCTTGGACCCCTATTACACCTAAGAGAACTGCCTGGGCTACCCTGCTGAAAGGATGGAAGAGACACATTATCCCATCCCCAGTTCCCCCATGACCTGCCAGCTAATTGTAGACACAGGAGTAAGTCAACATCAGCCAGGAGCAGCAGAACCACCCAGCCGCCTTGTAGACCCATACAAAGAATAAAGGGGGTTGTTTAAGCCGCTTACATTTTGAGATGTTACGCAGAAATAATGGCTGACAGAGTGGTCCGTCTAGTCTTTTACTTAGATTGTCCTCTGCCTCTGACATAACCTGAGTGGGTTAAGGCCAATGACTACAGGGAGTGGAAAATGGAAATTAAGACTGATGAGAGCTAAAAGCTATGGTATTACAGTTTCTTTACAAATATGAGAATGCTTTTTGAACAGGATCCAAGCCCCATAAGCTATGGATTAAGCCTATTCATCATAAGTTTATGATCTTCAAAACATATTAGGTGATACTGTTTCTCTCTTCATAGACTAACAAATGTCCATGTGAGGGTTCCACATTGATCATTTTCCTTGTGTCCATCCCAAGGCACTTTGTCAAATTATATTAACTTGTATTAAATAATAATTTTAAAGGCCTTCCTAACTTCTTTTAGAAACATACAGATTTGATTTTCAACATTTCAGGGCATCTGAACCAATTGTACCATATCATTTATGTCCAACGCATCTGTTGAATGTTGTCAGATGGCAAATACAACATAATTAAGCATAATGTTTTCTTAGATTGGCAAAATAGTTTACGTTCACCCAGAAAAAAAAAAAAAAGGATAATGCCACAAATAAATGACAAGTCTATTATTACAAGACTCCCAAAATCTGTCGCAGGAGGTAGGCTTTAATGTCCTGACATAGGTGATGAACTTTTCTTCTAATTGAGAATGGCCATTGCTGGCTGTGTCCTCTCATATTCTAACCCATTTTTTTTCTCAGTTGCCAGAATTCTCTTGGCCTTCAAACAGCTCTGGTTGGGTCTGTGCTCAAAGTGGTCCAAGTTCTACTGCACACCCAACCACCACCACCTTTTTGGAAATCTTGCTACTCAAAGTGTGGTCCATGGACCATCAGCATCACAGACCTATCCAGGCTTACTTAATCACAATCTGCATTTAAACCAAATTCTGAGCGATTATGCTCACTTTTATTTCCCTTCAGCGTTTATTTAGTTTTTAAACTTAGCTATAACTTGGGGACTATGGCAGTGGGATTCTCTGTTATTTTCAACAGTTAGGCAGCCAGTCTTAACCAGAACAGAGAACGAAACTACTTCACTTAGTATTGCTCTTCCCCATGGCATAGGCCCAGAAGCAGGCATTAAGGGGGAATTCAATACTGGCTTCTTGAGCACTATGATCTTATGAAACACCCTCTTCCACCTCTTGCATGCTATTAGAATGGGGTCCCCTCTCTTCACAATCCTGCTGGATATTGAGAAGTATCAATTAATTAACTCCAGTAACATTTTTATCCCACATTTACATTTTTATCCTACATTTTCTCTCTTAACCAGGCAGTATACATCTTGAGAACAGGCACTAAATCTTACTCAACTTTTAAAAATCACCAAAGTCAAATATAGTGCCTAGCAAAAGAGAAAGTATTCAACAGTGCCCTTTTTCAAATTAATAATGAAAAGAAAAACTTGGCCCCTGATTAGGTAACTGACTCATGAAATTTCAAGCACACACAAAAAATCTTACCTACTTCTTAAGTTTTAAAATTATAGTATATATTTTCACAGCCACGTCAATTTGTTTCTCCTATTGTCCACTTCTACCAGGTTGATTCCAAAGACTTTAGTTCATATGATAGAAAAAATAAATATGCATTCTAAATAATTTTCCTACTTTGTCATTTCCAATGTGTGGGCTTCTTTCTACTAACACCCCTGTCTTAATCATCTTTGAGTCTCTGATAATTCCTACAGTTTCTGGTATATAACATGTACTCAAGTATTTATTGAATGAGTTATTTTTAAACCACTATGAGTTTGTTAGCATGTTACAATTAATGAAAAAAAGCTCCAATGTAAAACATTTTAATAGGTTGTCAAATATACAGTTATTAGAATTATCTAAATATCAATTATAAAAATCAGTATCACATTAGATGATTCTATAAAATAAAAAACACAAATCACACATCGACAATAACCCCTGCAGTCCAAGAATACCCCCCAATAGTACAAATTACAAACACATTAAAAAAAACCCAAAAACTAAAGACATTATTTAGACATTTAAACCAAAGTAAATGACTAGACTAAGTACATTCATTCATCAAGTACAATAAATTAAGCATTGCTGCTTATAGTCACTAATAACACAATTTTAGGTGCAATTTCACATGCTTTCATAAATCTTCCAGTATAGTTCCCATAGTAAAGTGTCTTTGTGCACACCATTTTCATTTATATGCAGGTGCATCATACATCATACTTAAGACTATTTCACTTCATAAACTGTTAATATATACTGTAAGCGAACACCAGGCCAAAGTTTAACCCCAACGATGACAAAATTTAAAAATTCTCAAAAGCATATACTGATTTGTTTAATTGCATGAGTACTATTTCCACTTACCAGAGGCTATTAAGTAAGGAGAATTTAAATATTAACTCAAAAAAAGATGGAGGCCCTTTCCTAAAATAGTAAGTATTTTAGTAACAATATAATTGTCAAATTTAAAATACCAGTGATTTGAAGATAAGATGGAGGCCTAACATATTTTGTACTACATTATAAAATACACTAAAAAATATGCAGTTAACTTGCTTGTGAATATGTAATGTTTTCACAGTGATGTTATGTTAAACACTACTCTAAATGGACAATCTAAGTAAACGTACCTTTACCAAAAAGAAAAATGAAAAATTAAGGCTCTTTGAATGCTATTTATAACTATTACTCAAACTCAGAAGTCAAATAGAGATTACAATGCTGCGAAATACTATTTCTAACCTATTGTTTGCTTCATCTCAATACTTATTACTTTATCTTTACACAAACTCAAATGATAGTTATCTTTAATATCTTCAAATGCATATTTCTCTATATCTCTTTTAATTAAGCTCCCAACCCCACCCCTTCTAGACAGAATGTGACCAATGGTTAGGGCCTTGTCTGATTGGTTCACACTTTATAATGGGGGGCTAAAAATGCCTGGCAAGTGGTATACATCCAATAAATATTTTTGAATGAACTGAGAAGTCTGACCTCCAAAGGCAACCCTACTTGTTTTCCCAAAGCAAACTGCTACCTCTTTAGATAACCAGATTGATACAATTTTTAAAAAGAAATTGGTCTCTCCTAGGCTATGAAAACATTACAGGATGTAATAAAATAACTGAGACTATAAATGTATCAAATCAAGGTTAAAGGCACTGGATAAGAAAGATAATTACAAAGCATTGTAAACAACTTTTAAAGTAAATCAAGTTTTAAAGTATAAAATGCCAAACTGCTAAGAGAAAATGTACTAAAATGATGCCAATGCTTTATAATAGTGGACACGATTTCTGTAATTTCGCCAATAAAATTCCTTCGTTGCTCTACCATTTTCTTTCACCCTAGTCTTCTATAATAGTCTAAACCCTAGAAACAAACATTTTCAGTCTCATGAAACATAAAAATTGCAACTGAAATACCTATGGAAATTCTTTTTTCTTAAATGATGTTATAAATTTGACAGACTTTATAGATATGATATGAAGAATATCATCTTGGAAGTTATAAAATACTAAATTATACTCAATCGAAATTCAGAAAAAAAGTTCTTATTCAGTTGAACATAATCTAGAGCCCCAAAATAGCCAATTGTAGTGTAAAGAGGCAAAGTAAGTACAATCTCTCCAGACACATAAAACAAATACTGAGTTGAAATACCACAAGCTCCACGTTAGAGCCATTTAATATACACATTTTCATAACTTGTTTCTTGAAAAACTATTTAGATAAAATATTTAGCATTTATCATTGATTTTAATTTATTTGAATCTATGCAACTTCCATCCATATTAAAATATCAATGTAAATACTTTATTATAAAACTATTATACAATTTAAATTTTTATTAGAGAAATGTATTATTCACATCCACAATTTCTTAAAGTCCTTTTTTTTTTTTAAAGTCCTTTTTAAATGAGTGTATTTCATAAGAAATACTCTAAAAACATTACTAAGATAATCCTATTAACCCAAACTATATCCTTACTATGCTTATTTCTTAAATATTTACCTGTTTAACTATGCTTCGTGAATAGTGATCATTCATCCCCGCAGTGGTAAATTTCAACATAATCTTAAATGACTGGACTATACACTTAAACACTCACATGTAGATTACATAAACAGATACTTATTCTGTTACATGTAAACTTAGTTATAAAGTAACATAAAATGAGCATTGAATAACAGTGATAAAAAATGTAAACACAGAATTAAATGTTAATCCCTTCCCTGAAAAACAAAAGATAAAAAGCGCTTCTTGTTTTATTAAAACAAAACAAAGTATGATCTATTGTATCAAAAAGATACTGATTTTACAAAACTATTATTTCCAAATACAGATAAAGAAAATCTGGAACAGTTAATTCAGACTTTATTGAGCTAAAATGTGCAAAAAAATCTGATAATACTTGTTTATTAAATTCATTGTACATAGGCTGATACCATCTCATACAAAAAAGACTCCTGTCTTGTTAAGATTCAAACTAGTGTTAAATTATCTGACCTTAAGATTTATTGAACCACTATCCAAATAACAAAAGTCCAACTTGTAAGAGAAAAAAAAGTAAAACTAAAAATTTTTTTCTGTCAATCATGACTTGAAATTCATTCCCACTCTCACCCAAAAAAACCTGTAGCCAATTCCCATTTAGACAGTGGAAAAAAATATGAATTCTTTATGAAAAATTCTTACACTGATTGTAAATGAAAACTTAAAAGCAATCAAACTTTGCTATGAATAAAATGCATAAAATTTTTAAAGTTATTCTGGTTTAACTGATTTACTAAGCATAGAATTCGCAAAGCATCTGGTACATTTGTTTGGACTCAGGTAGTTGTAAAGTACTCCCAAACAGAGCTGGGAAGGTAAGATAAACATAAAATACAATATTTTTCTCCATACCACAACAAAGGCAACTGGATTCAGAAGTTTAATTTGTAACTCTAGAAGGAAAAGAAGAGGAAAAAAGTCTGATAATTCACAATTCTAAAACATTTTCCAGGACAATGGCATAACTGCTAAACTACTTAGACATATGAGTGAATTGAAGTGCAAGTAGTGACAGCATTAACATCAAATGTATTTGAAAATTCATTTTCAAAGTTTTAAATGTTTTCAATGACAAATAACTAGTTACTTTTTAAAAAGTGGTGGGTATGAAACAAAGATAAAACTTACAAATCTAATTTTTCCAGAAAAAGTAACATTCCCCTTGCCCCCATGAAATACATTATAATTTCTCTGTTGAATACGATATAAACCTGTTTTGAACAAGAGTGAAATAGAAGGGTGGATTTAGATACATACCAAACCCTATATGATGCACTAATTTACACATAGTACTTTTGATAACACATGATTGGATGCTGTCTTCCACTGATTTTAGAAAATTTTGAGAAACACTATTTTTAGCAATGTACATTTTATACTACTGTTTAAAAGGGGACATAAAAGTTAAAAAAAATAAACAAAGCTTCAATCATACACCTTTTTGATGATGCAGTTAGAGAAAAAGGTATTATACAGTTTATGCCAGTGTTCACAATGTAGTAAATACATATTCTGATTTTCTCACAAATGAAAGATTTTAAAAGAAAAGTATTTTGTTTCTTACAAATAACTTCTTTCTTCTCCTAACCCTGGTGAGAATAATTAGTGCCCTTAATTTTAAGATTTTTGCTGTTGTTTTTGTTTATGTCAATTATCTTTTTCATGAAGTATAATATTTTGAAATATATATAAAAATGAAAATTAAAGGGAAAACCTGCTTTTAGAATGCAACATTTTAAATCATTTCACTAAGAAGCACCTTTTGATATGCTGGTCTGAACTTTTAATGCAAAACCTAAACAGTACTTATTTCTGAAGTAGAATTTTCTCCAGTTTTAATAACTTCATACATAGCAATAACAGACATCAACCTGTGCTTTCTAGATTTCTGTTGGTGTTCTAACAGTTTAGCAATTGTTTAGATATGGCTCATTCTCAAGGTTGGGTGGACAGAGATTTCATGATAAATTGGCTACAAAAAGCTAACTAAACTCTTAATGACTAAATAATGGTTTGCGTTTTGCTTGAGTCAAATTAAATGTGTAAGCCAAGTACCACCACATCCCTGCTTAACATTCTTAAGTTTCTTTATTCTTCATAGTCTTCTACTGAACAAATAATTAGTTTTCCTGAGTAAGATTATAAAAAAGTTAACCTTTCTTTCAAAAGTATAAAGACAAATAAAATGTTGACTCACCATACAAATTTTGTACATAGCATTACAGGTACAGAGATATTGACTGCTGCTCTTCATTATGACTGGCCCACCCCTTAAAAAGACTGCAAAGGATTCAATTGTCTAAAATACTTTGAAGTACAGTAATTAAATGCTTTAGCCCATACACATATCCCTCATCTATTGTGTTGCTAGGGAACACATGCGCAAAATCGATCATTCGCACTTCTACTTCTGCAATCTCTTGGCAATCAGTGGGAAGATGGTAGAAAACTTTTTCCAGTTGGGAAAGTACATTTCCATTTAAATGTTCCTGTGACATGCTTTTCCACCCATTGTCGTGCTCCATATTTTCAACTTTCAATGAAGTCTGACTGTGATGCTTTTTTGAATACATTCTTCTGTGACGAGCATACATCTTGGACAAGCTTTTGCCTACTGAAGCTTCTATTTTTCCATTTGCTGTGGAACTTAACACATGAAAGTTATTATTGTATTCCAGTACTTCTGTCTCTGACAGTTGTCCTTTGGACAAAAACTTTTCTGCCAAAGTTCTGTCATGCGATTTTGTAGTGGTTGGCTGAGATGAACCTTCATAAACAAACAGTAATGAACTTGCGTAGAAGTTAAGCTGCTCCTGGCTTTCAAACCACTGCAGAATTTTCTTAATTTTCTGAATACTGGCAGCAATAGCATCTTTTCTTAGGGAGAACCCATTATGAAAAAACCTGGAGACACCTATAGAAAGAATAATATTAGGATTATGATCAAATTATGAAACAACTACGGGAAATACACTCATTGTAGGTCAAATTCCTGAATTTTTCTCCATCATCCTCTAAAATTAAGTGAACAGTTAATTATAGAATTTTAAGAATTCTAGTCAAATTAGGAACTTAGATCACAATTTTTAGTGAAGATGCTCTTATTAGAAAGCATTTAAATGACACTAATGTAATATGAAATATCCTATTTAGACAAAAAGGAAATTTATTACAGGTAGACTAGTAGTTTAGTTCTCTCTATATATTCTCTTGAGAAATATGATTCCAACATTTCCTCCATTTGCTATTGTGAGGGATTTCATAGTAAAGTTACTTGTTTGTTAAAATCACATTTAAAAGCGAATCTAAAACCTTGAGTAAAATTGTAATTTTTGGGTTTTTTTTTGAGACAGGGTCTCACTCTGTCACCCAGGCTAGAGTGCGGTAGCGTCATCATAGCTCACTGCAACATCAAACTGCTGGGGCTCAAGAGATCCTCCTCCTTCAGCCTCCTCAGTAGCTGGAACTACAGGCACATGCCACATGTCCAGCTAATTTTTCTATTTTCTTTATTTGCTCAGGCTGATCTTGAACTCTTGGCCTCAAGCAATCTTCCAGCATTGGCCTCCCAAAATGCTAGGATTATAGGAATGAGCCACTTCACCGGGCCAACAACCATTTTTATTAAAGTGAAGGAGTCTCACTCTTTTGCCCACGCTGGAGTACAGTGGTGCGATCATAGCTCACTATAGTCTTGAACTCCTGGGCTCAAGCAATCCTCCTGCCTCAGCCTCCCCAATAGCTGGGATTATAGCATGAGCCACCATACCCAGCTAAAATCATTTTTAATGGGATCAACAACCCATTACCAAATACCAAACTATAACTCTTCTAATTTTTATTTGTTCTCAATAATAAATGTCTAATATAATATTATTTCCAGGAATCTAGGATATTGTTGCTTCTGTAATATTTTGGTCACAAGTATTTTAGAAGCATGTATGTTAACAGACGTTATTTAAATCAGTGTAATGCCATTTGATTATTCATTATGTAGCTCTAGAAGCTTGTAATATATAGAAATTTTAGTAAAAATACATTATATGCTACAACACACATTTTTAAGTCTCTTATGTAACAGGCAGTTTTAATATACCATGATCTATAACATTTACTTTACTTTAAAAATGATTTAGTGGTGGCTCACACCTGTAATCTTAGCACTCTGGGTGGCCAAGGCAGGTGGATCGCTCAAGGTCAGGAGTTTGAAATCAGCCTGAGCAGGAGTGAGACCCCCCTCACCCGGTCTCTACTTAAAATAGAAAGAAATTAATTGGCCAACTAAAAATATATAGAAAAAATGAGCCGGGCATGGTGGCACATGCCTGCAGTCCCAGCTACTCGGGAGGCTGAGGCAGAAGGATTGCTTGAGCCCAGGAGTTTGAGGTTGCTGTGAGCTAGGCTGATGCCACGGCACTCTAGCCTGGGCAAAAGAGTGAGACTCGGTCTAAAAAAAAAAAAAAAAAAAAAAGACTTAAAGACAACTCTAGTTCTAGTATTGAGCTAGATGGATGGTTCATGGATGCTCATTATTTATTTATTTTTGAGACAGAGTCTCGCTTTGTTGCCCAGGCTATAGTGAGTGCCGTGGCATCAGCATAGCTCATAGCAACCTCAAACTGGGCTCAAGCAATCCTCCTGCCTCAGCCTCCCGAGTAGCCGGGACTACAGGCATGCGCCACCCATGCCCGGCTAATTTTTTCTATACATATTAGTTGGCCAATTAATTTCTTTCTATTTATAGTAGAGACAGGGTCTCGCTCTTGCTCAGGCTGGTTTTGAACTCCTGACCTCGAGCAATCCGCCCGTCTCAGCCTCCCAGAGTGCCAGGATTACAGGCGTGAGCCACTGTGCCCGGCCGATGTTCGTTATTTTTTTAAAAAGTGTATTAATAAGAAATAAGTGAAAATATAAGGCCGGGCGCGGTGGCTCACGCCTGTAATCCTAGCTCTCTGGGAGGCCGAGGCGGGTGGATTGCTCGAGGTCAGGAGTTCGAAACCAGCCTGAGCAAGAGTGAGACCCCATCTCTATTATAAATAGAAAGAAATTAATTGGCCAACTAATATATATATACAAAAAATTAGCCGGGCATGGTGGCGAATGCCTGTAGTCCCAGCTACTTGGGAGGCTGAGGCAGGAGGATTGCTTGAGCCAGGAGTTTGAGGTTGCTGTGAGCTAGACTGATGCCACGGCACTCACTCTAGCCTGGGCAATAAAGTGAGACTCTGTCTCAAAAAAAAAAAAAAAAAAAAAAAAGAAATAAGTGAAAATATAAAAGACAGCCATTCATGGACCCATGGTTTTGGTGTATCATGAACCAGTGAATATGATTAATCCAATTCTGAGAATCTAAGTTTTATTTTAAAAACAATTTTATTATCAATTGAATCAGTATTCCAAAGGAATTGAATTAAAACTGAAATAACTTTAGAATTAACAGTCCAATAATAAAAGCATTAGTTTTTTAATCCTTACCATCCTTTATAGTTTCTTTTGTTAAGCTTCTTCCATAGTGCTGGTTTTGTGTCTCGTAACTATCAGTATGAACATGATAAACCTGTCAAAAAAAGCAGTGAATATTAAAACACTAATGCTCCCTGACCATGTGGTATTTATCCTAGCAACTGAAGGGTAAAGGATGAGCTCTATCCATATAATTCATTCTAACAGATTTGAGAAGAAAATAATCATAAAGTTATATCAAATGGATGCTGAAAAGGCATTTAACAAATCTAACACCCACTGATGATGAAAAAAAAAAAACTCTTTGTGATAAGGATAGATGAATATTTCCAATATGATAAAAATTATCTATCTCAATCCACCAGAAGTTAGCCTCAAGTTTAACACACTGTCCGCCACACTAGAAAGAAATATTTTTCCTTGGCCACAGTGTTTCATTAAAAAAATAGAATAAAAACCTCAAAAACAAAATGATCCTAATTTAATGAAAATTTGTTAGTTTTTATTGTTTTCTGTGCGTAAGTTATAAGCAACTTGAAAATAGTTCTCACAGCTCCCAAGGTGAAGAGATGTGAGTTACATATGCTTCACAAGCCTTGTGCTCAAAACTAGCATGAGTTAAATACAAGTCACATGGCAGTTAACATGATAAAGGGGAAATAAGGAAGCGTTTCTTTTAAAATATATATACAACCACAACAAGTAAGAAGTGCAATGTTTGGGGGATGGACATGCTTAAAGCTCTTACTTGAGGGGCGAGGGGGGCATGGGCAATATAAGTAACCTTAACACTTGTACCCCCATAATACACTAAAATAAAATAAAAATAAAAAAAATATAAGCAGCTTCTATAAAAAGTATTCTACTACAATGTCTTCTTATCAAATTATTATCTAATCTTGTTCCAGAATTATTAGCAAATGTAAATAAATAAGAGAAAGAAATTAGGGGTATAATAATTTGGAAAGACAGAAATAAAGTTATTACTCTTTGTAGACAATGGTTGTACACTGAAAAATCAACTGAAAAATGAAAACAAACAATAAAAATTTGAAATGATGGTTAAATACAAACTAGTAAATAGAAAATAAGCTTTCATATATACAAATAACCAGTTAGAAAATGTACTGAAACACACCATTTACAAAAGCAACAAAAATAAATCCATAAAAATAAACCAAGTAAAAGAACTATAAAAACACATCTTTTAAAATATTCCTAAGATACACACTCATGTTCTCAGAGAAGATTCAACATCATAAAAAATATGTCTATGTAAATTAATCTATAACTAAAATGAGATTATAATAAAACCACCAACATTTTTTTTTTAACTATGTAAACTAATCCTAAAGTTCATAGACAAAAACAAGAGCCAGGAAAAACTGAAATAAGATTAATAAGGTGGGGCCGGGCGCGGTGGCTCACGCCTGTAATCCTAGCACTCTGGGAGGCCGAGGCGGGCGGATTGCTCGAGGTCAGGAGTTCAAAACCAGCCTGAGCAAGACCCCGTCTCTACCAAAATATAGATAGAAATTAATTGACTAACTAAAAATATATATACAAAAAAAATTAGCCGGGCATGGTGGCGCATGCCTGTAGTCCCAGCTACTAGGGAGGCTGAGGCAGTAGGATCGCTGAGCCCAGGAGATTGAGGTTGCTGTGAGCCAGGCTGACGCCACGGCACTCACTCTAGCCTGGGCAAGAAAGTGAGACTCTGTCTCAAAAAAAAAAAAAAAAAAAAAGATTAATAAGGTGGGACTGATCTTACCAACCTCCCGGACATTAAAACATATTTTAGTATCACATACATGTGAGAATTTAATATGTGATAATGGGATTTTAACTCAGTGGGAAAAGATGCATTATTTATTAAATTGTGTTAGTCTGAGTAAGTAGCAATTTGGAAAAAAATAAGTTGTATTAATACCTAATACCTTATGCCACGATAAATTCCAAATGTATCAATGATCAAAATGTATAAAATAAAAGGACCCCCCCAAACATGGAAGAATTCTTGAATAACTGATAGCCAGGGTAGGCATTTCCAACTAAAACTCAGAAATTCCCAACACATCAATATGTTTTTAAAATGTTCATAGTAAATTTTTTTGATATGTATTATTTATACATATTTATGGGGTACATGTGATATTTTCTTACATGCACAGAAAGTGTAATGATCAAGTCAGGGTATTTAGTATTTATCATTTCTATGTGTTTACAGGGTTTTTGCCAGAGAAGAACTATTTGAAATTTATATGAGGAACAAAAGGCATGTTTATACTTATACACAAATGAACAAAGGGTCTGAAGAGTTCATGGAAACCAAACAGCTCTCAAACATACCAGGAGCACAGCCCTTCCTCCCTCATTGTGACAACCAAATAACATCTCTAGACATTGCCAAATGTCTCCCTAGGGGGAAAAATTGCCTGTGGTTGAAAACCACTGCTGTATATCAGGCAAACTGCCAATATCTATCAAAATTATAAATGTACGTAAGTCCAGCGACTCCCCTTTAAAAACTCATCCCATAAATATGGTAGCACAAAGATAGAATGAGGTAGGTCTATGGTTACTCCCTGTAACGTTATTTGTAACTGCAAAGGACAACAATCAAAGGATCCATCAAAGGGAACTGGCTAAATTACAATATAATAATAGTATGCCACTATGAAGACATCTCCAGGATAAAGGAGAAAAAACCAAGATACAGAACAGTGTTTAATGTAGGTTTTGTAATAAAAGAACATGCATATATAGTATTTGTGTGTTTAAAACATCTTGGGAAGGATATATTGGGGAAAAAATAACTATAATATAGTATCCTGTGTAGAGGCAGACTATTCATTGTACAGGCATATATTGTTTTATTGTGTTTTACAGATACTACATTTTTTACAAACTGAAGATTTGTGGCACTCTGCATCGACTAAGTCTATCGGCACCATTTTCCCAACAGCATGTGCTTACTTTGTGTCTCTATGTCACATTTTGGTAGTTCTTGTAATATTTCAAACTTTTTCATTATTATTTTATCTGCTATGGTGATCTGTGATCAGTGATCTTTGTTGTTACTATTATAACTGTTTTGGGGAACCACAAACCACAACCATGTAAGATGAGAATTTAATTGATAAATGTGTGTGTTCTGACTGCTCTACAGACTGTTCCTTCTTCCCTGCCCCACCCCTTTCCTTGGACTTCCCTATTCCCTGAGACACATTATTGAAATTAGGCCAATAAATAACCCTATAATGGTCTCTAAGCATTCAAATGAAAAGAAGAGTTGCACATCTCTCACTTTAAATCAAAAGTTAGAAATGATTAAGCTTAATGAGGAAGGCACATCAAAAGCCGAGACAGGCTGAAGGCTAGGCCTCTTGTGTCAAACAGCTAAGTTGTGAATGCAAAAGAAGAGTTCTTGGAGGAAATTAAAAGTGCTACTTCAGTGAACACATAAATGATAAGAAAGCAAAACAGAGTAATTGCTGATACAGAGAAAGTTTTAGTGGTCAGGATAGAAGATCAAACCAGCCACAACATTCCCTTAAGCCAAAATCCAATCCACAGCAAGGCTTTAACTCTCTTCAATTTTGTGAAGGCTAAAAGAGGTGAGGAAACTGCAGAAGAGAACTTGGAAGCTAGCAGAGGTTGGTTCATGAGGTTTAAGAAAAGAAGCCATCTCCATAACATAAAAGTGCAAGGTGAAGCAGCAAGTGCTGATGATGTAGAAGCTGCAAGCTATCCAGAAGATCTAGCTAAAATGACTGATGAAACTACATCAAACAACAGATTTTCAATGTAGACAAAACAGCTCTCTACCGGAAGAAAATGCCATCTAAGATTCATTGCTAGAGAGTCAATGTCTAGCTTCAAAGGACAGGCTGTTGTTAGGGGCAAAAGCAGCTGGTGACTTTAAGTTGAAGCCAATGCTCATTTACCATTTCAAAAATCCTAGGGCTCTTAAGAATTATGCTGAAACTACTCTGACTGTGCTGTATAAATGAAACAACAAAGCCTGAATGATAGTACATCTGTTTATAGCATGGTTTACGGAATATTTTAAGCCCACTGTTGAGACCTACTGCTTAGGGAAAAAAGATTCCTTTCAAAATATTACTGTTCATTGACAATGAACCTGGTCACCCAAAAGCTCTGATAGAGATGTATAAAAAGATTAATATTGTTTTCATGCCTGTTAAAACAATATCCATTCTACAGTTCATGCATCAAGGAGTAATTTCAACTTTCAAGTCTTATTATTTAAGAAATACATTCTGTTAAGCTATAGCTGCAATAGATAGTAATTTCTCTGATGGATCTGGACAAACTAAATTGAAAATCTTCTGGGAAGGATTTACCATTCTAGATACCATTAAAAACATTTGGGATTCATTAGAGGAGATCAAAACATTAACATAATAGGAGTTTGGATATTCCCACTTTACTAAAGCTGGAATGGAAAGAGATCTGAGAGTTTCTCCAATCTCTACCCACTGTCCACTCTTGGTCAGCAGCAAAGATATTTGTAAATCGAAAGTTACACTCCCACCCTGAAAACATGTAAATATGTAGCAAACTGGTTATCTAATTTTTTTAAATGGAAAGAAAGCTGGGAGATGTGTGTGGGAGAACAGAGTGACAAGCAAAAGCAAACTCCAGCTTTTCCTGGACCCTATTTTACCATAGGATTTGCTAATTTTATATGAACTTAAAATGTCAGGAGCAACCAAATTCAAACATCTTTAGCAAAATATATTTCACATTAAATCAATGTATGGGACAGAGGAATCTGAAGTGTTACTATCCCAAACTATTGTAAAGAAAATAGCCTAAAAAAAAAAAAAAAAAGAAATACAAAAGAATGAATTTGAGTTTTAGACAATGTGATCAATAAAGATCAAAAACAGAAGTATTTTTTCTCCAAGTAATTAGGAAATGCTACTTCTCTTAAAAGAGTATTTCTTTGTCAAAAATTTACGATGTTGCCAAAATATACTGAAACAGATAAAATAATCTAAAATGCTGAATTACATGTTTTAAAAAAATTCATGTGAATTTCTACAAATTATATTTCAGTTACTTTTCTTTTGGTAAATAAATATAATAAATTCCTACAATTAAATAGCATATGTTTCAAGGGCAATACAAAGTGCAAAAAATGTTTAATTTACACAATAGTTAATCCACAAAGACACTTTGAAAAAACTATTAAATCCCAAAGGAAGTTGCTGATACTAAATGCTTTTAAATCTGATCCTTTAAGATACATACACCCTCTAAAGTATACAGTATACTCCAGCCACCTTACACTAACGCCTGTTTCACTATATGCTCTGCTTTGTAGTTTTCCACATATTATTGTCCTCTGTTGCCAGTTTAAAAACCCACCCTTTCCAAAATCACTCAACACTCTCCTCTTTTGACTCCCTTGTTCTGACAGGCTCTCTTTTGTTTCTACCTCTTTTATAATACATATCTCAGTAAATCTTTTTATTAAATCAATGGTGAGTCTTGCAACTTACACAATTTTGGGATTAAGGAAATGAATTTACCACCCACCAAAGAAATAAACTATTTTAAAAAATTAATCCTAACACTACTCCAATTAAATGTCATGGCTTATCTCTCAGTTTTAATATTCTAGAACTGTATAATTAAACCTATACTCATTATCATTTTCATTTGTTATTTTACACTTCAATCATATCATGTCTCAGGTAAGTACATAATATCTAATTATAAACATTAAGTGCTATCTTAAGAAGGTATGAAAACAAAAACAGGGAACCCAAATTGATCTCCACATCCAACATTACAATCCCTACCAAAATCCTACCTGGCATTTTTTTGCAGAAACTGACAAGCTGATCCTAAAATTCATGTGGAAATATAAGGGACCCAAAATAGCCAAAAAACCCAAAACAAAAACAAAACGTAACCCAAAAACCTTGAAAAACAAGAACAAAGTCGGAGGACTCACAATTCAAAACTTACCCCAAAGCTACTTTAATCAAGACAGTGTGGTGCTGGCATAAGGACAGACAATACAGATCAATGGAATAGAAATGAGACTCCACAAATAACAATGCCATTTGCAATCAGTGACATGGAAGTGTCATTAGGGAACTTAGTGAGGAGTCAAGCATGATGGGGCAGAAGCCAGACTGGAATGGGCTGAACACATAGTGGGGAAATAAGGAAACAGAAATAACCAGTTCGGTTGTAAACATGTTCGGTTGTAACCAGTTCGGTTGTAGACATGTTAAACGTGCAGCTGGAGAGCACAGCAGGATAAAGGTGGGGTTTTGATGTTTTGTTTTTTAAAAAATTGAGAGTGAATTGAACATATTTAAAACAAAGGGAAACGATCCAATAAAGAGAGAGAGAGTGAAGTTAAAGATATAATAAAGACAAGACAGAATACCAGGTTCCTTGAGACTGATGTACTTTATAGTACACAGATGGCTCTAAAACTAGTTTTAACAGAATGGTTGCAAAGAAAAAAAAAAAGAATACCAGGTTCTTGAAGGAGTAAGAGGCAAAGTGATCCAGCAGCATAGGGAAGGGCTATCCTTAGACAGGAGGACAGAAAATTCTTCAATGTGACAGGAAGGAATAAAGAAGTAATAAAAGCAATTGTAGGTAAGGTATATACATCTATTATCAGAAAGACATATATATATATGATAAGATATATCATATATATAAGATATATATATATCTTTTATCAGGAAATTAAGGGAAATTCTGAGGCTTTTGTTTTTTCTGAAGCAGAAGGCAAAGTCATTTGCCAAGAGACAGAAAGTAGGAGGGTGAGACAACTGAAAACAGTGGATGTTTAAATATTAATAGTTGGCCGGGCGCTGTGGCTCACGCCTGTAATCCTAGCTCTTGGGAGGCCGAGGCGGGCGGATTGCTCGAGGTCAGGAGTTCAAAACCAGCCTGAGCAAGAGCGAGACCCCGTCTCTACTATAAACAGAAAGAAATTAATTGGCCAACTGATATATATATAAAAAAAATTAGCCGGGCATAGTGGCGCATGCCTGTAGTCCCAGCTACCCAGGAGGCTGAGGCAGAAGGATCACTCGAGCCCAGGAGTTTGAGGTTGCTGTGAGCTAGGCTGACGCCACGGCACTCACTCTAGCCTGGGCAACAAAGTGAGACTCTGTCTCAAAAAAAAAAATAAATAAATAAAAATAAAAAAAATAAATATTAATAGTTGCTCAGATTCCTGTGGAATGTTTTGTTTTTAACATTATTCCATTACCTTTTCTCCTTTTCTATATACACACATTTAATTATAATTTTCCAAAACAAAATAATTACTTGAACAATTTCTCTGATTGTATTTACAATTAGAGTATCAAATTCAATTGTGCTATTATTACCACCACACTAACAATTTATCTATAATTGGTTCCTATTAGCTCTCCTATTTAAAACTCAAAAAGGAAAATCCATATATCAACTTACATGAATTTCAAAATTACCCATTATGCTTATATAGGTAAGCAAGCATTTGGTAATATCCACAAATTTTGCATCCACACATCTAGAAGACACAGTATTTGTTTAGAGGATTTTATTCCCCATTATTTTTGTTGTTGTTGTTTTTGAGACAGAGACTCACTTTGTTGCCTAGGCTAGAGTGAGTGCTGTAGCATCAGCCTTGCTCACAGCAACCTCAATCTCCTGGGCTCAAGAGATCCTCCTGCCTCAGCCTCCCGAGTAGCTGGGACTACAGGCATGCACCCATATTTTTTCTATATATATTTTTAGTTGGTCAATTAATTTCTTTCTATTTTTAGTAGAGACGAGGTCTCACTCAGGCTGGTTTCGAACTCCTGACCTCAAGCGATCTGCCCGCCTCAGCCTCCCAGAGTGCTAGGATTACAGGCGTGAGCCACCATGCCCGGCCCCCCATTACTTCTTGACTGTGGTATATTATTTGCAAAATGGCTTCAACAATTCTTCCCACACTAAAGCACATTGCTACTGGAATTATGATTTCACTTTCCCCACCATCAGAAGTGGAGTCTATTCCTACTCCCTACCAATCTAGGCTGGCCATATGCTAGACTGTGACCTACAAAATTACACAGAAGGAACAGCAAATAGCTTCCTGACCGTGAGTTAAAGAACCCTTGTAGCTCCTGTTCTTACCTTCTTGGAATGTGGTGCTGCGACATGAAAAAGCCTGAGCTACCCTTCTGACGGTTAAGACCACATAGAAAAAGGCCCAGTCGACCCTTAGTACCAACTTCCCAACATGAGAATGAGGTCACTGTAGACCACTAGCCCCAGCTGAGTCTTCAGGTGACTGCGGCCACATGAGGGACTCTAGCTGAGATCAGCTAAGAACTGTCTACCTTAGCCCAACTCAAATTGCACATCTACCGAACTGTGTGCAAATAAAGCAAATATTTTAAATCACAAAATCTGAAACAATAACTTAACTTTTAGTTTCTCTTTTCTATTTTAAAAATACAGAAAAGGCATTAAATATATAAACTTAGCACTTTTCTCATGGGAAAATCATAAATAATATCACATTTGCTTTTAATATTTATTTTGCACCTAAAATTAAGGCTTCTTTAAAACAAAATTGCCAGAGTCAGTCTTGAGTTTCAGCTATCCATTCATTTATTTATTAATCACCTATTTTATGGCAGGACTATTGAGAAACTGATCATGTATCAGTAAACAAAAAGATAAAAATTCCTGCCCTCAGAGTTTACACATTGAGCAGTCATAGACAATCCAATTCCAAAATATATTGTCTTCTGATACATTAGCATTATAATGACATTCATAATTTTCAAGGGAAAAACATGCAAAGATAAATTTTTATATTATACTAATAATCATTCTTACCCTCATGCCAAGCACCAAGAACCCAATCTCTTCCATTAATGGGTACTTGCTGACCTGTTGCTGAATCTTCTCAGATGAGGCAAAAGGATCATAGCTTTTTCGCCCTATCTTTACATCCATTATACAGGGCTTATTAAATTTATGAGTCACATCTTCCAGTTTTAGGTATAAATCTGTTATTAAAGAAAAACCTTAATTAGTAATAGGCAAATATATTACTACTTAAGTAAGTGCCAAGGGAAAACAAAATGTTAGGAAATCCTTAAACAAGTTAAAATAAGTCTAGTTGACAATTATTATTCCACCTGAAAAAAAGACTGACCAATAAATTTATACAAAGTATAAATATCATAAACACTTAACAGAGACAATTAAATAATATTCAACCATAAGCAAAGGTATGAAGTAGATATAACATTTCCAAGGACATCAAAAAAGCAATGAGATTATTTCAAAGCTGTTCCAGAATTAATTCCCCTTTTGAATATAATTTATTTTATCTATGCCTCAGCAGATCTTTTTAGTATCTTAATAATTCTTTAAAATTTATTCTTCATTTAAAATTAGAAATAGAACTAAATTCTTCCCACAAAGTAATACAACAGAAGTAGAGGTTAAGGTTAGGAAAGGGTAAACCAATCCAAATGATGATCACTGCCAAACACATATTCTAGTCTTTCTAATTTAAAAGGAAAAAACAAATATCTTGCTTTTTAGAATACAAGCAAACCTCAAAAGTTGGTCTATAAATCACTTTGGCAGCCTGCATACATCTTTCCACAGGAAACTTTACATAGAGATTCAAGTATAATATTATAAAAGCCCCAGTTATCATATACAGCTGACCTGCAAGGGTCCAGGGCCACTGAGGAAAGAAGAAAAGAAATTCTTTCCCCCTCTCCTGGGTAAAAGAATCTTCTCTAAGTTTTGAATGAGATCATGATTTGTTCTTTTTTTTTTTGAGACAGAGTCTCAATTTGTTGCCCAGGCTAGAGTGCTGTGGCGTCAGCCTAGCTCACAGCAACCTCAATCTCCTGGGCTCAAGCAATCCTGCTGCCCTCAGCCTCACGAGTAGCTGGGACTACAGGCATGCGCCACCATGCCCGGCTAATTTTTTCTATATATATTAGTTGGCCAATTAATTTCTTTCTATTTATAGTAGAGACAGGGGTCTCGCTCTTGCTCAGGCTGGTTTTGAACTCCTGACCTCGAGCAATCCGCCTGCCTGAGCCTCCCAGAGTACTAGGATTATAGGTGTGAGCAACCTCGCCCGGCCAAGATCATGATTTTTAAGTTATCTATAAGAAGCATTTCTCTTAAAAACTTCTCATCAAAGACAGAATAGATTATATCCTGCTGTCTATCACCATGACAAATAATGTTAGAGAAGATATTTATATTTATAAATACATATATGTATATATATTCTGAACTAAATAAAAGGGTACTAAGGGTAAGAGAAGCCTTAACCTCTAATGTCCTTTCTTTGTCCCTGTCCCACCAAGACTAGCATGGTTACTAAATTACAACCAGAAAGTCTGTGCTTAAGACCTAAATGCTAGAAGAAAAAGAAATAAACTTTTTGTGAGGAGACACAGTCTCACTCTGTTGCCCGGGCTAGAGTGCTGTGGTATCAGCCTAGCTCACAGCAACCTCAAACTCCTGGGCACAAGCGATCCTCTGCCTCAACTTCCAGAGTAACTGGGACTACAGGTGTGTGCCACCATGCTGGACTAATTTTTTTTTTTTCTGTTTTTAGTAGAGATAGGGTCTCACTCTTGCTGAGGCTGGTCTCAAACTCCTGACCTCAAGTGATCCTCCCATCTCAGCCTCTCAGAGTGCTAGGATTACAGGCGTGAGCCACTGCGCCCGGCCCAAAACAAAAATATTTTTTAAATATAAGTTTTTTAAATTAAAAAAAAAAAAAAAAAGAAATTTGTGCTGAACCAAAAATGAGAACAACCCAGCTAGGGCTTGAAAAAGTTTTAAACTCCTCAGATTTCAAAGACATAAATCTTCTACTTCAAGGGTAAAAGATAAATTTTATCCCATCGACAAAGGAAGACGGGAGGAGGGTTTTGACTATGAAGAAGTAGGTGAAATTCTGTGTTTAAAAGATAACTACAGGCAGGACGTGGTGGCTCACGCCTGTAATCCTAGCACTCTGGGAGGCCGAGGCAGGCAGATCTTTCAGGAGTCAGGAGTTTGAAACCAGCCTAAGCCAGAGCGAGACCCCGTCTCTACTAAAAATAGAAAGAAATAAATTGGCCAACTAAAAATATACATACAAAAAATTAGCCGGGCATGGTGGTGCATGCCTGTAGTCCCAGCTATTCGGAAGGCTGAGGCAGGAGGATCACTTGAGCCCAGGAGATTGAGGTCGCTGTGAGCTAGGCTGATGCCACGGCACTCACTCTAGCCTGAGCAACAAAGTGAGACTCTGTCTCTAAATAAATAAAAAATAAAAGATAACTACAGGATGGTATGAGAAGATGGGGAAGAAAGCAGCACAGGACCATTCCCTTCAGATTCTCTCCTCCTATCTCCAAAGCAAAAGGGAAGGAAAAAGGGATGGAAAAAGATGCTCTCTCTATAGTTGCATAAGAATTTCAGTAACAAGGCTTCCATTTCAAATATCAGAAAAATCTAATTAGACTATAATACAGTAGATCCGTGGCATTTACTAATTTATCATTACTTTAGAATCAAGAGACTCCAAAAATCTCACTGTGGTGAAGCTATATGGAAATATAAAGATAGTGAGTGAACCCTGCTAACTATCACAGCATCTGTATCCCAGCAAAGGGTTATTATTTTCTATTAATAAATATTAATAGAATTAATCACTACCAATTTGGTAGTGATTAAAAACAAACAATAAACTCTTTATGATAAGCAGAGGTGACAGAAGCCAGATAGAGACTTAGCAAGTCTGAAAATGAAATCCCTATTTCTACCTTCTCTTCTTAGAAAAGAGGAAAATACAAATGCAAACTCCCCATCTTAAAGGAACACAATAAATGTTTGCTGAATGAATGAGTGTTTGCCCTTCCCATTCCTACTGCCTAGTGGAACTTTGGACTCAGCCTTCCTCGTGCTATAATAAATTGAGTCATTCCTTCAGTAAATAGGGCTAAGTATCATGGGTATTATATGATGTTATTTAGACTAGCCAAATGTGTTCTTCTTTATCTTATTTTCAGGTTTTTGACATGTTTTATATGATTAAAATCACCAAACAACCATGAAATTACTTATTAGCCTTCAGAAATAAACCTTAAGTTAAGGCCTACTGAGGTGGTTTGGTACTTTCAGTTCTCTGGCCTCAAATCTTTTTTTAAGTGAAAATAAGAATTTGAGATCTCATTTTTCTTTCCCTTGAAGTTATGAAAATAAATATCAAAACCTGCTTTAGAGGCTGGGCATGGTGGCTCACGCCTGTACACCTAGCACTCTGGGAGGCTGAGGAAGGAGGATCACTCGAGGTCAGGAGTTCGAGACCAGCCTGAGCAAGAGCAAGACCCTGTCTCTATTAAAAATAGAAAGAAATTAACTGAACAACTAAAAATATATAGAAAAACAAATTAGCTGGCCATGGTGGCGCATGCCTGTAGTCCCATACTCGGAAGGCTTAGGCAGAAGGATCGCTTGAACCCAGGAGTTTGAGGTTGTTGTGAGCTAGGCTGATGCCATGGCACTCTAGCCCGGGCATCAGAGCGAGACTCTGTCTCAAGAAAAAAACCACAACTGCTTTAGAGATGCAATTATTAAGAAAGAATGTGATGTTGAGTATCTAGCAGCTTACCACAAGTGCTTTTGAAGAAGGTAAATAGGAAAATAGGACATAATCTGAGTACTAAGATTTTTACTAATTTTTTTTATAGGCCATCATCAATAGAAATAAATTTGAATATTAATTCACTCTGAAAAATGCTATTAGCAAATTCTTTCCCTAAAATAGAAGTAGTAGGTCAATGTTGAGATTCAGTTACTCAAATGATAAGTTATTTTACTACAAGGCAGTCTCATTTATAAGGCAATGCCACAGACTAGATAACAAAGGACACCTTTTCAGCTAGGCCCCTCTGGGTATACAGTGAAACAGTATTTTTCCATTTGCAGGTCACAACCCACAGTCCATTACTGGACTGTAAATTCAACTTAATGGGTTGTAACCAAAAGTTTCTTGAATGAAAAGTTCTTGGATGAAAGAGAAAAGAGAAAAATGACTATCTCACAGCAAGACTAAGTATCATGTGGTTTAGTTTCATCTTAAAAACACTGAGTTGTGATGTAAAAATGTATTTATTAAATGTCATAGACTAGTTTTAAAAAACATTTGATTCGACAGAACGTCACTATGTCATTATGATGTCTGCCCAACTCAAGAGCTATCCTCAGACTCACAGAGGTGGCCCCTTTGCAATCACTGTCACACTTTGGGAATCTAGCCCCACAGCCATATAGACACCAAAGCAGCAGCAAACATCCTGACACAAGCTTGGCCAGTATTGCCAACTTGGACTTGGGACTCAGATAACCTATTGGTGACTTCTATGGATGACTGGTGCTACAGAAGCACAGGAAGGCAGAGGAAAGAAGAGGAAGGGTTGAGGAAATGACGACAAAACACAGAAAGAGTTCTCTCTAAGCTCTGATAGAGTTCAGTTTCTGATTCCAGTCCCATTCTAGGCTTAGATGCATAGCTCTTGACTTTCACAAGACACCCCTGTATCCTTATAATTCTTCCTTTTTATTAATCAAGTTCAAGTTTATTTCTACAACTCGTATCCAAAGAATCTTAACTGAAATGGCTGAGTGTGTAAAGCAATGGCTGCTCTGAAAGCAGAGAAAGCAAGCTCAAAATCTCAACTCCACCATTTGCTAGCTTGTGACCTCAACAGGACTTCTCTAAACTCCAAATTATATGTAAAATGGAGATATTTATAGAATCTACCACAGGGATATCATGAAGACTAAATAAGATAAATACATTGTAAAGTGCTTAGTATAGTGTCAGTCCTAGTTCCATAAATGAAAGTAACAATATTCCCTCACTGCTTCAAAAATAAAATTTCGCATATTCAAGATGTAATTATTGTCAAGGCACTGGTCTAGGATATATAAGTGAACAAAAGAAGATAAAAATCCCGTCTTCATAGAGCTGCTTTTT